AGGTTGCTATGAGCTAGGCTGACGCCACGGCACTCACTCTAGCCCGGGCAACAAAAGCGAGACTGTCTCAAAAAAAAAAAAAAGAAATAGTTAACATTTAAAAGTTAAAATGAAGTGTGCTCTGCCAACTTCTAAACACCCCCCAAAAAAAGAAAATAATAAACAAATTACCTATTGGACTGGTTTTCCTGCACAAATGGATAACAAGTAATCAGGTAGCTGGGAATTGGAGTTGGTTCTATACCAGAAACACTTCCATTATCATTTGGGAGAGCCATAGGGATCATAAATGTATCAGGATTCTTCTTCTGGGGAATAAACGGCTCTACCTCAGCCGATAGCTTGACATTCTTCAAAGAGAAAGTAAAATATGTTAACAAAGCAAGCAACTTAATACAAATTTACAATTTAACAACAGAAGAGTCAGCCTTTACAAACAGTAACTGGATGTCTTCTCAGTATTCACAAGACATCCAAAAGGAACAGCAATGTCAATGTAAAATAACTGAATGATCAAGTTATTTGGACAAAGCCATCAAATAAAATAAGGAAAAACTTATCAAAGGTTACTATATTTCAATAAAATCATTTATGTTATCAAAGCTGTTAAAACAATTGAGAGTACAAGCAAGTCATATCTCAGGGCCTAAAAATAAAGTTGGTAGTAAGAAATGTAGCTCTTCAGAGAAAACAATGTGGTTTTAATTAATTTTGTTAGGGGAAAAATCAGAGTTCTAAATGATAATTATATTTGAATAGTCTAAAAAATAGTCTATTTCTATCTATTTCAGGAAATTAGATTGTATCATTAAATTAAAAGGAAGAAAAATGTCTAAGATGAAAAATACTTAAGGAGAAAAAACTTCTGGTTCAGTTAAACTGGGGAAAAAAAAAGAATTAACTTCAGTTTCTCAGCAGACATCTCAGCAAACTAAAATAATCCATTAATATGTAGTCCATTTTAGTTTACTTTGTATCTCTTCTTATAAAAAATCTATAGAGAGTTAAAAGACATATAAAAAACTATAGATAGTATTTAGGGATGCATATATGAATGATAAAAACTATAAAGAAAAGTGAAAACAATCCATAAAAGTCAGGATAGGAATTACTCTTAGGAAAGAGGGAGCTATAATTGAGGAGATACCTGGAGAGCTTCTGGGGTGCCGTGCAAACTTCTATATCCAAATTGGGCAAAACTCATAAGGTGTGTACCTTATAATGATTCATTAAGCTGTACATTGGTTTTACATAGTTTTCTGTGTAGTTAACAACAAATTTTAACATTTTAAATTATAAAAAAAAATGTATAGGCACATTCTGCAAGGGCAGAATTTAAAAACCACATAAATATTATAATCTAAAAAGATATTAAACACTTTTTAATAAAACCAGTAAATGAAATGGAAGCCAACATTTTAACCATTCAAAACAATTACCTTAAAAGCAATGGTCCTAACCAGAACTTTTTCCCAAAAAACCCTCTAGGGTGATATTCATTAGAAGCTCCCACAAAGCATAGCTGTCAAAATAAATTTCAGGCATGTTTCTCACAAAAGTACTTAGTAAGGAATCCAAGAAAATCTAAACACAAGATTTGATATGCTCGATACACAGCCCTCATTCAGAAAAATTAAGTTCTCTAAAAACAGAACCCTGTAGATCAGAAATGCTTGTTAAAAAGGTTGGGGGGGGGGACAAAATCTGAACTGCATAGCAGTATTAATTCAATATCCTTCTTCCCTACCTAATTTAACTTTGACGTCTACAGCTGTACATTAACCAAATCTGAAGTAGATAAACTGTAGTAATAATATCTATAAATATTTGTGAAGTGAAGTTGGTTCCTTGAATTTTAACATGAGAGGCGTGGCCGGGCGCGGGGGCTCACACCTGTAATCATAGCATTCTGGGAGGCTGAGGCTGGAGGATTGCCTGAACTCAGGAGTTCAAGACCAGCCTGAGCAAGAGTGAGACTCCGTCTCTAATAAAAATAGAAAAAATTAGCCAGGCATGTTGGCACATGCCTGTAGTCCCAGCTACTCGGGAAGCTGAGGCACAAGGATCGCTTGAGCCCAGGAGTTTGAGGTTGCTGTGAGCTAGGCTGACACCTTGGCACTCTAGCCCGGGCAACAGAGCGAACTCTGTCTCAAAAAAAAAGGAGAGAGAGAGGCAAAAGGCAAAAGCACCTTCACACACTAATAATATGTTAGTAATTTTCACTCACTAATATTCATTAGAATCCAAACTTATTTACGTAAGGCATAATACATCAAAATAATAAATGTTTCCTCAATTAGGAAAAGAAAAGCTGATTTAGCTGACTTTCAACAATAATGCAAAGATAATGGAAACGTGCTTTATATAGTTCATACATATGCATAAGAAGAGAGGAACCTCAAATACCATTTTAACTGCACTAAAAATATAATGTTTATTATTTCCTTCAAAAATTAAAAAGTCCCTTTAAACATATGGAGAACTCACTGAACAATTTTATAAATCTGGACTAGGAGACATTAGGTTTTTGTTTTAAAGCAAGAAATACAGGCAAATCAAATTATCAGTCTAAAAAGAAAAAGGAATCATAATAATGTAATTATAAATAAATAATTTAAAAATAACACTTTCCCCGACCCCTCCCCCCAAACAATACCAACTCATAAATTAATTTGGTAGCAAATTCAAATTTTTGCTCAGGTCAAAAGTTGCAACAAATTTCATTGTACTTTACAAAAAAGAGTTTCATAAACTTAGGCATCCCCACTGTTTGAAAAGGTAGCATGCATAATTTATAACTAATGTCTGCACATATACACAGTATATACCTTTAAATATTAAAGTTTGTATTGGTTTTATTCTAAGTGCAATTCTAGATACCAGAGTTCAACAATAAAACTCACAAACACTGAAATGACTCTTTGTTTTTAGCAACCAAAAAAAAAAAAAGAGAGAGAGAGAGAGAGAAACTGCTATAATCAACAGCTGCACAAACAGAAGATGTCACTAGTAAGAACAGACTGGCGAACTTTCTCCTATAGTTACAACTCTGTATAGTTTCAAAAGTTGTTTACTGTGACTTTGGGGCCTTCTGTATCATACATCAAAATGCAGCAGGCTTGAAAGCAATGTTAAGATACCAAACGATGCATAAAATTAATAAAGCCCATATAGTTAACATGTTAAGTAAGCAACAGATTCTGGCAATATTTTAATTATATTAGTATAGAAATCTAAGAAACATGTCTTGCATAGTGGACAATAAAATGTTATTTTTAAAATTTAAAAAATTAGATTAGTTACTGCATACATCATTCCTCAGTTTGAATTTCTGTGTTTTAGTCTTTCTACTTTTGCCAAGATCTATTTTTTAGGGATCAGACATGTTATAGTAGGCAGTTGTCTCCACAAAGAAAATAAATATGCAATAAGTCTAAATTACACTGAAAAAAGTCTAATCCTTGTGCTATTATTTACTTAAGAAAAAAGCAACTATCTAATAGCAAAATTACCTTTCAGAAATTTCAGAATTTTCCAAGTTAATGAAAAAACTATAATCCCAGAAACATGTTTTTGAAAAAATATTTAAGCAGTTTCACATTTATTTTTAATTTTGGGTATATTAAAGCAAATGCCAATAAATAAAATACCTCTGATGTGAATAATCTAGAAAACTTAAGAATTTATTAGAGCATGAAACTATAAAGACTTGTTTAAAAGAATTTATTAGACAAATGCATTCAGATCATTAAGAGCCTATATAATTGAACAAATATGCATTGAGCGTATATTCTGGAAAGAGCACTGTACTAGAGTGATTTGGAGAAAATGGGCAAACACTACAAAGCACACAGTAGAGAATGTACACTAAACTCCTTAGAGATGAAACCTCCAGAAGAATGCAAATAATTTTCCCAGATTAAGCAGTAGAAAAAAAATGACACCCACTTAAAAAACAAAACTGAAGTTAGAACATAATGAGACACTCTCCCACAGTGAAACTCTAGAGTATGTACCACACACCCACAGAAAAAATATGACCATGGAAACCCTCCATACATTCTATGCTATGGTAAAAATACGATATCTCAAACATTAAGATATTTTACATCTCATGGCCAAAGATAAAACATCTTCTGAAGGAAAACCCTATTAATGCTTAAGAAATAACTGATGGTTATATATTGTTTTCTGATTAGAATGGCGTATATTTATTAATAAAGTAAACCACATGCCAAAACAAACTGCAGCTGTTACATGTGTAAGTTTTGCAAGACTCCAGAAATACCGAGGGGAAAAAATCAAAGTATTTAACTTAGACTCTGCCCGCTTCTTTGCTATCCATACATTTTCCTCTTTTTCTTAAAACAAACCAAATCTAATATTGTTAAAAATCTGATGGTACTTTTTTTAAAAAACAGCTTTCTAGATTTGTTAGTTTCTGGTTTATCTAGTCTATTAATTTCTGTTTTTATATTTATTATTTTCTCTCTTCCTTTGATGAGGTTTCCCCCCTAATTTTTTGCCTTGTATGCTTAATTTTTATTTTGCTTTTAAACTGTTTAATAATGAAGTTATTTATGACTATGCATTTGCCTCAGAGTATAGCTTCAGCCACATCCCATAGGTTTTCATATGTGATATTTTATTATTACTTTTTCAATAATGTATCATTCTACTTTTTACTTATTCTTTGCCCTAAGGGCTTGAAAATGTCTTTTTTAATGCCCAAATGGTATTTTCTTTAAATGAACATGTAATGTATATATTATACTTTGTTTTTGACTGTAAAAATATTGTTTCAAAAATCTGATAAGATAGGTAATTTACTTATATCCATATATAAAGGCCAACTATAAGTATTACAGAATAAACACTTTATAGTAACTTATTTAAAATACATTTAGTTTGGAGGACTGATATTTAATGTTTATAAATTATTTAAAGAAAACAATAAGCCAGACAATTTTCCATCCTTATTGAACAGCACAGTTGCATGAAATCATATATATTCATTACATGTTTTTCTAAGAATTAAAGAGATTAATAACCTATAACTTTGTAAATTCTTTTAAAAGAACTTATCTAATGCTAATATACTCAAATTAAGCCAACATTTAAATTATTTGTGATAACACAAAAGAAATTGTGAACCTCAAGTGTTCTGTCACTTCTAAGCCCATTGTTTATTTTAAAATATCTCAAAACACCGTCCTAAATTTCCTAAAAATAGAAACACTAAGCCTTATAAACAAAATGAACTCCATGATTTATTCTTCACATCCCTTTACACAAGCTTTTGTTTGTAAGGAAAAAATGCATTACACCAATAGCTGTTCTTAAACCATCTAATTCTGGCAGTTAAAATTAAGCTACTTGTTTTGATTAAATACAGAGAATACTTTGTAAAAGAGAATGCTGAAAGAGATACTCCTAAGATTCTCTTCTGGTTATAACACTCTTTCAAATAATCATTATTGCAATTAAGATTATCCAGTTACTGTATTCCCAGTAACTTACTTTGTAAAATTTTGATTAACATACACAAAATTTATCTTTTTTATAAAAAGATTTAATATATAAAAAAGAGGTAATTTCCAAGAACACCAAAATGAATGCCTTCAACCAAAAAAAGTTAGATTTTTTTTTTTAAGTTACACTTGTTAAATACCCCAAGGATTTAATTAAGATGAAATGCAAAAGGTCTTCTGTATTAAGTAGCAGTTTTTAAAAATCAAACTTGTATGAATTCCTAACCAGTACAATACTATAATGAGTAAGTTTTAATGCTGTAGGCATTTCTAGAAATTCTGAATATAAGTCAATACTGGTTTAAAAGGAAAAAACAAACCCTTTGTGAAGAAAAAATAGAAATTCAGCACAGCCATTACATTATGGTATACTGGAAAGAATCAAGAAGTCTACGAAGTTGAGAAATCTCAGTCCCTAATCTACCATTAAGTTAATGGTTCTTAGCCTTCCTTTGAGAATATGATAAAAATAATGGAGTCTTGCCCCAGAAAAACGCATATATAAAATGAAGCACGCTCCTTCCAGGTCATCCATGCACCCCTGAATTAGCTGCCTACGCATTAACTAGGCAAAGTCACATCACTTTTCTGGATCTCTTTTCTGAGTGCATCGGAGAGTGAAAGAGTTTCAAGTTATTCTTTCATTTAGGGTTAAGGCGGGGGAACAGGCAGAAGGTACTAGAAGAAAAAAAATCTCAACAAAAAATCCTTTTTCATGATTTTTTCTAGTTCTCAAATTTCTACAAGGTTTTAATAGGTTGTTGACTTTGGAAAGACGGCATGAAAGAGGAAGAGGCTCTCTAGTTTAAATAATTTGCTCATAGTACTTGCTGCTAAGATAATCACACACAAATAACTATGCTAAATGTTACCATCTAAATAGTTAATTACATTTCCTCTAGGATGAAAGGAACCATAAGTATACATATGGTAGCATTACTGGTTACAGTTCTGGCATCATGGTGAAGGACCAAAATGTTGAACCCCTTCATTAGCAGTAACGCACATACAAGGAAATGATTCAAAAAAAATTCCTATTTATTTGTCAGGCTTTGAAATCTCAGGTATTTTTGATAGATACCTTCAGAAGTTTTTTTTTTTTTAATTAAATTCGATATAGGCTGCATACAGAATACTCTGGGTCACAGGAAAGCCTATGTGTATTGGCCAAAAGGCTCCACATCATTTTTGCTTTAGTAATTACATGTACTGTTTTATAAAACTCATTTGTGTTTTCAGAGTTATAGTTACCTAAAGCTTTTTTTTTTAATTAAAGCTTGTGTAAAATCAAATACACAACTAGGAAGCTGTGCTTTGCCTGCAAAGAGTCGGATTTCAAAATCAAAACCAGCTCCAACTAAATATGGACATATACAGGAATTTGGGAAATCTTATCTCATTTAATCAGGTGCTAATTACCCATCTGTAAATTTAATTGGCAAAAATTACTAAACTTTCTTCTGTTTTCATCTATTTGCTTAATGCATTACTGTGCAAGCCCTTCAAAGAGGGGAACAGAGAGTGAATAAACTTTGACTTGAAATTATTTCGTAGAGATCTTAAGAGTGGTAAGTACTGGGGAAAAAAACTATTATTTTAGATATTTTTTTATGTCGTCATTATCCCTGCCTCCCAGCACTTACTAATATGGACAATCAAGAAACTGATGCAACGAAAAACAAAACAGAACACTAATAGGACTACTCCGCAAATATGAAAACGGGCTCGGAAATGAACTCATGCTCTTACGCCCTTAAAATATAAGCTCAATTCTTAAAAAACATTAACTACAATTTTTGCAAAATAATTGGACAAACAAGACAAGGGGAAATCGTGGTATTACTTCTTAAAAGGAACGCCACTGCAAAAACAATGCTCAACTGTACGCAGATCTGAAAGGCTCATGATTCTCCTTCATCTGTAGTTATCACACATTCTCTGACGGTCTTTCTGGGTGAGAAGCCTTCAAAACGCCTTTCCACCTTGAAAACACATTCCAGAACTGGAAGGAATGGGGGGAGGGGAAAGATCTGCTGGAAGTTACAGGCCCTCCTCTCGGTTCAGCACGGACAACTTGGAGCCTTCTGGCCCTTTTCAACAAGCAGGGGAAGAGAGGCAATGGAGAGCTCCCAGTCCGAGAGGTAAACAGGGCTGGAGAAGCCCCCAAGCCCAAGGCAGCAGCTGGAACAATGCAGGAGAGCGGGGTGCAGTCAGGCTCCCGGGCAAGGGGTGGGGGGTGGCAGGTCTCCGACCGCAGGAACCCGAGGGCTCTGGCTGCCCGAGTCCCACGCTCGGAGACCTGGGCCCGGCCTGGGAGGAAGCGGCGACCCCCAAGCCCCAGACCGACCGGCCCTACCCGAGCCCGCGTACCTGGTCTGCAGGGGCTCGGTCCATGGCGCCTCCAGCCGCAGCGGGCCCGCGCTAGTTGGTGTAGAAGGCGCCTCGGGCCGCTTTCTCCATGGCCCCCCGCTCGGGTCCAGATTGGGTTCTGGACCTCCGCCCCTATCTAGCTGGTCGCAACGCCGAGTTGGCTACGCCACTGGCCGACGAGGAGGCTCCAGCTCCGGGAGATGGAGGAGGCGGTGGCAGCCGCGGGGAGGGATCATCTGGGACGGAAGCCGGGGAGAGCCCGAATAGGCGAGAGGCGTAGTCGGAAATGGAGGCGCACAGAAGGGAAAGGAAGAGGGAGGAGGCACGGAGGGGCAGTGGGCGGAGTGACGGCAAATGGCCTGAGCGAGGGTAGGAGGAACCCAGGGTGGCCTAGAGGCTGAGGCCAGGTGGGAGTGCCCGGGAGCAGGTGCCCCGAGCCACACTCCACGTTAAACTGGGCGAGTATCCGGCCGCTTGGGACCCAGGACCCCCGGGACCTCAGAGACCTTTTCAGGATCCGAAACCACCTCTTAGTGATGTGGGAAGAGCTTTTAGCTGCCCACTGTACATATGCTCCTTCCTTATGTTACTCAGATAAAGGGAGTCATGGCTATAAAGGAATGAGAATACGATAAAAATAATGGAGTCTTGCCCCAGAAAAAAAAATGCATATATAAAATGCGCAGACAGAATGCCTGGAAAAAGCTCCGTTAGGAAGCTCCACAAATACTTATTGATTACTTAATTCATTGTCCGGGTCCAGGCCCACCTCTAGGCTCACCTTGGCCCCCTCAGGACCCCTCATTTTACCCAGGATCTGTATAACACCACCCGACAGGTAATTATATAGGCCGGTATGTTGCTTTCCCCACTGTACTTATTGATTGTTCCTTTTATCTTCAGATCATTAGCTCCTTGAAGGCAGAAACTGCCTTGAAACTGGACACTTCTTTAGCATGGCAGATTCTCTCTGGGCATCTCCTTATGCACACCCTCCAACACCCACACCCTCCCTGAAGAGTTCTTGCTTGCTAGTCAGCTCCTGGATGAGGAAGAAATATAAAAAGCTGTACTGTCAGCCCTCTGTGTCCACGCATGCTGCATTCCAGATTCAACCAAGGGCGGATGGAAAACATTTGGGGAAAAAAAAACAATAAAAAGTAACATTACAACAATACAATACAAATTAAAAATAATACAGTATAACAACTATTTGGATAGCATTTACATTGTATTGGATATTATAAGTAATTTAGAGATGATCTAAAATATTAATAGGAGGATGTGCATAGGTTATATGCAAATATTAAGCCATTTTATATAAAGGACTGGATTTTGCACTCGTGGATTTTGATATCCACAAGGGTTCCTGGAACCAACACCCCCTGCAGATACCTATGGACAACTGTATAAGCTAAGTGAAGGAAGAAAGTGCAGATGGCTGCTGTTTGGGGCACTGGTGTGGAGATCCACAGGTGGGAAAGGGAAAGAGAATATTAAGAAATTTACTTTGTCATGCTTCAGGAGTCTTCAGTAAAGACCTGACTTGCCTTTTCATTTAGTCAAAGTTATTAGTCTGGTTTTATTTGAATAAGACTCCAAGATGAGGGTGGTCTGCAAAGCCCTTAACTGTACTTATGTTGATACAGGTTGAATATCTCTAATTGGAAAATCCGAAATCCCAAACACTCCAAAATCTGAAATGCCTTAAAATCCAAAACTTTTTGATTACAGACTTGACACTCAAAAGAAATGTTCATTGAGCATTTCAGATTTCAGATTTTCCAATTGGAGATGCTCAACCAGTAAGTATAATGCAAATATTCTAAAATTAAAAAAAAAAAAAACTTAAAATCCAAAACACTTCTAGTCCCAAGCATTTTAGATAAGGGATATTCAACCTACACTGTATATTGGCCTGCTGAAAGGAGCTATATTGTGTCAGCAAGACTTATATCAAAATTGACAGTAGAAACAGTTTGTAAGGAGAAACATTTATACATAAAGATCTCTCATTTAGTTTTATTTATTAATTCTTCTTCCTCCTCAAATTTAATATATGCATGTGTATTTAAAATGCACATGTATGTTGGAATGTTACATACATGTGCAATGAATGTAATGTTGGGTCCCTAGTGTCTGTTGCTTACCTAGTTGGGATTCAGTGAATGCTGAATGAATTTAGGGTTGCCCAAAAAAACTAAGTTAGTTATAATATATTATGTAAACTGACAGATGAACATTATCCTTCACAATTGAAAGATAAAATGAACTCTGAATTTTTAGGTTGTCTCCCCACTGGTGGTCTCTAGCCATAAGATACCTCATTTGAGTAAAAAGATAATAATAATGCAGTCATAAAAATACCGCAGTACTTTGGCTTTTCTTCTTTCTTCAGAGGAATAATCTGAGGAAATTTAAATATAGGAATTCCAAGGATCTTTCCACATTATAGGATTTTTACGATGATGAAATAGTTTTCATTGTGAATCTTCTGTGTACAAGACATCTATTTAAATTATAAGAATGTTTCACAGCTTCTGTGGCTGTCTAAAATAAGTAAATAAATAAATTATAAGAATAGAATCAAAAGAAATGATAACAAAAATATCACAGTGTCCTTCTTACTTAATGTAATCCTTAAAAAGGTGCCAATAGCTATTAGGGAAAAAAATTAAAATCTATAAAGAAAATGAAGACATTTTAAAAATACTACATTTTACAGATGATATGGAATAAATTTGAATTATTTCATTCCACAATCAATAGTTAATGTATTTAATGTGCTCGGTACTGTGCGAAATACTGAAGGTACTGCAGTTAATGAGACACTGTGAGAGGAGAGACCATGTTTGTCTTCTGAGCAAGACATACACAGAACAAGTAATTACAAGTGAGATGAGAGTCATGAAAAAGGAAGTTCATAGGTCCTACCGTGGTAGGGATGGAAGGTGAGGGTTACGATTGGTAAAGAAGTAGTGGGAAAGTTGTTTCAAGAAGAGAAAATGACACGTGTTAGGATTCTGACGAGAGAATTCAGCATTAGTACTTAAACAAGCTCATGCCTTGAGATGAGAGTTCAGGATGTGAGGAATAATCCAACAGTGCAAAGGCCTCTGAGAAGTTTGGAGGGGATGGGATACAAAAATCAGGGGAAGCAATAGGCCTTGGAAGGAAGTAGGGACATGTTGTCCACTATAACAGAAGAAAAGGAAGAAAAGATAGACAGAGCTGCAAATCCTGTACATTTATACATTTAGTGCTGAGAGTTGAGGGAATGCCTGTCTAATAGCTTGTTTTCTCAGTGAAGTAGGAGGCAAGGTCACCTGCCAACAATGAGGGGAGGCAGAGTTGTTGCACTTGTTGAAACTCAGAAAACATATATTTAAGACTTGTACATGTCATTATATGCATATTTTACATCCAAAGAAAAAAAACTATAACCAAATACTGAATTCTGGTCTTAACAAAAGCGTACACCTATGTAACCCAAATCTCTATCAAAACATAGAATGTTACTATTATCCCAGTTACTTTTAAAACTTCTCTACTTATGTCAAATGCTCATCCTATATACTATTGTATCTTCACTACCAATGCCTGGCATACAGCAGGTGGTATTAAATAAATATAGCAGCTCAATAAATATTTATTGAATAAATGAACATGTGATATAGTAAATCAGGATTCTTTCTTCCAGGGTTTGGGTTATTTAGGCATGTGCATTTTACTGAGTGAGCAGAGTTCAATAAGGTACAAGTAGAAAATTATTTTTTATTGCTCAGTCCCTTCAAATTCTCTAAAGACTATTTCTTTTTCTGCCCTGGATAAAACCTCATGAAGGTCACACAAACTTCATTCCAAGTTAAAGCTTTTCCTTTTCCCCAACTCAGTCCTGCTTCAGGCTAAAAGCCTGTGGCTTAGTCCACTTCTGTTTTGTTTTCTGCCTTTCATATCTCCATCTCCTCCACCTTAACCACTCTCTGACAGCTTTTAGACCCCTCTACGTTTGGGTCGTGAGGCGGAAGGTGGCAGAGCTTCTCCAATACTCAACTACTATGACATGCATGAAGTCGTTTTAGGGCAACCACTTAAGACCCTAGCCCTTAGCCCTTGGGCTTCCGAGGGTTCAGCCCTCTGCTTGATCCCTTTGGGGAACAGCCAGGTGGTCTCCTTAGCTGGAATCCCTTTTAAAATGGCTTCATGCAGAATTCTCTCCCACCAAACCCTGGGGTCATTTTGCTGCACTTGATTTATCCCATAACTGTCCATCCATCCCTGGTTTAAACACATTAAACCATCTTATTTTTGGTGCCTGTCAAAGTACATTGCAGACTTCAGTACACATTCCCCTGGGAAAAATTCATGTAGCTACAGTTGGTAAAAGTGCAGCTCATTCCCAATGTTTCTCTCAGGTCCTTGTATTCTCCCAGACTCCAGGAGACATGTATCAAGTTCTCCAAGAGTTTCCCTGAAAGCACCTTTCACATAGCTTGAGGTAAGGGGAAGCATCTCTTTTTTCCTGTGGGAGGTGTGGGTAAGTATAAGATATCTCCAAAGAAATACTCTTCATGCGTCATTAGTCCCTTCCACCCCCATGGACTGGAGGTGAGTGATGAATAATGCCAAGCCACAATTTCTTAGCATATCTTGCATGATAAACTAACACTTGGCTTTAGGATGAAAGGGTACTTGCACCTAATCTATTGTCCTCTGGGCCTACTCAAAACTGACAGCATCCTTATTGAATATCACATTACGTGTTCATTTAACACACTATTTTTGAGCACCTGTTATGTGCTAGGCACTGCTTTAGGCAGTGAGGATACAACAGTGAGCAAGACAAACTCCCTGCCTCATGGAATTTACAATTTAGTCTGGGAAACAGATAATGAGCATGTGAAAAACGAAGATAATTTCAGGTAAAGATGAATGCTATGAAGGATATAAAACATACCAATGTGATTACTGCAGATGGAGAGGGAGGTGGATGGACCTCGGAGGATGTGATATCTGACCTGAGATTGGAGAAATACAGAAAGATAGGAGAAAGACAAAGACAAAGCAAAAGCCCCAGGAGGGGAAAATCTTAAATTGGAGGAACAGAAAGGAGAGACCAATGTGAACAGTGAATGGTGGGAGGGTGAGAGAAGTATGAACAATAGATGGAACGGGAGACTAGACCAAGCCAGATTGTGTAAGAACTAGTAGGCTGTGGTAAGGAGTTTGGATTTAATTTTAAGTCAAAAGCATTTGCAGGATTTTGAAG